CATTTACCTTGGCCAAACAGCCCCATGTTCGTAGGTATGAGAGATTTAACTTCTTCCTTTCCCATTCCTCGAATGGTGTTACTTCCTTATGCTTCATTGGAATTTTATTCAGGATATGACACGCAGTCAAAACTGCCTCACCCCACAATTCCTTGGAAAGCCCCGCAGTGTCTAACATGGCATTCACCATCTCAGTTAGAGTACGGTTCTTTCTTTCGGCCACCCCATTTGATAGGGGTGAATAGGGAGGCGTCATCTCATGAATAATTCCAAACTCTTGGCAAAAGGATGCAAACTCATTGGAAAAATACTCCCCACCTCTATCAGACCTCAACAGTTTGATTTTCCTTTGAAGTTGGTTTTCTACCTCAGCTTTATAGATTTTAAAGTAATGCAATGTCTCATCCTTTGTTTTCAATAGATACACATAGCAAAATCTAGTGCAATCATCTATCAGTGTCATGAAATATTTCTTTCCCCCTTTAGTCAACACGCCGTTCATTTCGCACAAATCGGAATGAACAAGTTCTAGAGGTGCCAAATTCCTCGCCTCAGACGCCTTGTGAGGCTTGCGAGGTTGTTTCGATTGAACATAAGTATGGCACTTGGAACCTTTGACCAAAGTGAATTTTGGAATTAAACTCATGTTAGCTAAGCGCGTCATACACCCGAAATTCACATGACAGAGTCGCGAATGCCACACATTAGACTCATCATTCTCGCTAATATGGTTCACAGCATTATGATTATTATACATGTCATTCAAAGAAAAGCGGAACAAGCCTCCGCTGTCATAACCTTTTCCAACAAAAGTCCCATATTTAGAAACGACACATTTATTGGACTCAAACACAAGTCTAAAACCTTCTCTACACAATAGAGAGCAGCTAACTAGATTCTTCTTTATTGAAGGGACATGCTGCACGTTCTTCAGCTGCACGGTCTTTCCCGAAGTAAACTTCAGATCGACCGTACCAACACCATGAACAGCCGCAAGCGACCCGTTTCCCATCAACAAGGAGGAACCTCTCCCGACCTGATAAGAAGAAAACAGAGAAATGTCAGCACATACATGAATATTAGCACCAGTATCCACCCACCAATCAGGTGAATGAAAAACAGAGAGAACTGTAGGTAATATTTTACCGTACCCCGATGTTCCTCTGCCCTCGCTAATGACCATGTTGGTAGACTTCCTGTCTTTGCGCTCAGGACAGTCCTTGGCCCAATGCCCAGACTTGCCACACACAAAGCAATCTCCCTTTGCCTTTCCCTTGCCTTTCTTCTTAAAATTGGTTGCAGCCTTGGGTTTGACATCAGGCTTGACTTTCTTGTTGTTGTGGGATGCATGAGGGTTCTTCTTCTGTACCATATTGGCACTAGAACCTCCCTCAACCTTTTTGCCCCGCACGTCCTTTGCCCTCGCCTTCTCCTCAACACCCAAAGAGCCAATGAGATCAGGAACACTGAACTCTTGTCTCTTGTGCTTTAGAGAAGTGGCAAAGTCCGACCAAGAAGGTGGTAGTTTGGCAATAATGCCACCCGCCACAAACTTGTCCGGCAACTCACAGTTGTTGTTCTCAAGTTCTTTAGCCAGCATCTGAATCTCATGAGCTTGTTCTACTACAGAACGGTCATCGACCATCTTGTAGTCATAGAACTGCTCCATGACATACAGCTCACTGCCGGCGTCAGAAACTCCGAACTTGGCCTCAAGTGCATCCCACATGTCCTTCCCAGAAGGCATGTGCATGTACACGTCCACTATGTTGTCAGCGAGTACACTGATCAATGCTCCACGGAACAGGCAATCCGAAGCCTCGAACTTAGCCTCTTCCTCAGGAGAAAGAGGTGGTTCACTTCGTTTGCCCCGTGAAACATAGAAGCACTGCATCGCTGTCAACCACAATAGTGCACGTGCTTTCCATCTCTTATAGTTTGAACCATCAAAAGCATGTGGTTTCAGTGCAGCAGCAAAGCCAACTACCGAAAATGACCTATCAGGTTTTTGGATTGTTGGAAATATAGTCATTAATCGGCATATTTTAATCCAAAAAGTTAAAGCAATGATCATGGCATAAGCAGTGTAGGGTGATCTTAACATAACCAGTAGCATACTATGCGCATCATGAATGTCAGGAACAGGAACATACCAGTAACGCGATAACATGCTAGAGGCATCATGTAGAACAGGAACAAGAACATAGCGCACATAGTATAGCGATAGCGCTAACAATGGGAACAGGAATAGCGCTAACAACAGTAGCAGGAGGAGAAGAGTATACCCCGAGAATGGCCCTCCGCTGGATGGTGAGGCAGAATTGACTCCGTTGTTGTTGTCGTTCACGGCACCTCCTGGCGCACCAGCTCCAGATCCAGCTCCTGTCGGCGGCGTACCACCTCCGCCAGCAGTAGCGGCGGCAACTCCAGACATGGCGATGAGCAGTCGTGCGGGAGGCACTCCCCAAAAACCTGATCACCCGCCTACCCGGTGCAGATCTCAGGCGAAGGTGTGGTTTCAGAGGCACTGCTCCTTCCAATCTCTCATGCGCGCAAGAGATCAGAAGCGAGGAAGCGAGAGCAACTCAGGCGCGGAGAAGAAGAAACTAACACCGGGAAATAAGCTAAGAAAACGGATCGGACTCGCACCGGGAAAGAAGCTAAGAAAACGGATCGGACTCGCGGCCTCCTTATCTATCAGGAGAAAGAACGTGGACGAGCTGTTGCGGAGGGAATCGTGGGAACGTGGGTTAGTGCCTGCAAAAGGATAGCGACGTGACGCGCGCCGCGACCTCGCCCACGGCCCGGCGCGCGCGCGCGCGCGTGGCATTCCGACCCCTACCTCAACTGGTCAACAGGGAGCCTCCAATAACTCCCTATTTAGGTTGAGATATTTCTCGCTTAAATCCTGAGGTGGTATTATTATCCTCAACAATTATTATGGGCCTTTGAGATTTAATATTATAAGTTGGGCCTAGCCCAATTATTCTAACAGATTTCTGAATACATAGATACTAAACAAAATATATGTAAGACGGCGACTTCAGGCAAATTAATGGCACTAGGTGGATCCGGCCAGTTATATGGGCCCGTCGTCGGGAGTATATATACTCTTTATCATTTTGGAACTTGGGAGGATAAGTGGATAACTGTTGCCTGTCAGGAAGATAACGGGTCAATGAACTACGGATTTGCTGAAAAAGTGTCGCCACATTATGTGACTGAGTACAGTCGAATTTTAACGGCTGGGATACGCTGCGCTGGACATCGTGTGCACGATGCACATCCGTTTCTCCACCTGTTTATCCCTTTGCAATTTTTTTATTTTATTTGTTGATCCGGAATTGCTATGGGTTTGTAGCAGTCAATTTTGTTGTTGTAATTATGTATTTATACAAATTTACTGTAATTAATATGTAATTTTGGGATTTATATATGTAATTTTAGGACAATTTAATAAAAAATATGGCATTATAAATATAGCTAGTACCATGAACTATGCATAGCAGAAGAAGTAGCACATTCTGTTACCTTGAATGTTACGACACAGGCACAGAGCCAACGCCAACGCGCCGTCGGCTACCTTAACCCTTCACCAGCTAATTTGTACGGACGAGGAAATCGCATGGGCCTTGAAAAGAAAGTACCCGCAAGAAGAAGTGCAAACCTCGTGACCTCGTGTTGGGCCTGACTTCAGGATAAGAAATGTGGCGGTTCAAATTAGCCGGCTTCCAACAACATTCAGTTTTGAAATTACTACTAATTTTTATTCTTGTTAAGGCATTCACAATGGGTCTCCGTGGCATTCAGCCTCATCACCACCCAAAAACGAGTATTCCTTGCCACATCATCAATCTATGCAGCCTCCTTAGGACCGCGTAGCCAACTTTGGCTACGGGTTCCTCGTCGCTTGTGGGACCACACTCTCACTCCGTGCCGTCAAGGATGGGAAAGAAGAGAGAAAGGGGATAGGGGGAGGCGCCGTCGTCTGCTGCTCTGCTCGGCGTCGCCATCGTTCGCGTCTTTCACCCGCCGCCCCAGCGTGGAGCCCTGCCCGACGCCGCTGTCGTGGTCGCCGCCCCGCCACCGCGGTCGCTACCTCGCTGTCCTCACCGCCGCTTCGGGGGAGGAGAAAGGGGGGGGGGGGGGGGGAGTGGATCTCGCCGTCGCTGCCCCGTCGCCCTCGCCTCCGCTTCGGGGGAGAAGAGGGGCAGTGGATCTCGCCGCCCCTCGCCACCGCTTTGGGAGAAGAGAGGGGTGGTGTATCTCGCCGCCCTCACCGCCGTCGCTGCCGATTCCTCCGCCGCCGACCTGTCCACCTCTTCTGCGCGCAAGCACTCGCTGTTGTTTCGCATGGGGGAGGGGGAGGGAGATGAGGGTGGTGTGCCGGCGAGCACCAGGTCCGTCGCCCCTCCGGTCGGCGCCGTTGCGCTTGGCTGCTCCGCCCGATGCGCTCGGCACTCTCTGTGCGGTGGGGAAAATTGGACATGAGAGAGAGCAGAGAGAAAAAAATAGTAAAGCTGGTACTAGTGGGACCCACAAAAAACACACAAGAAGCAACTTGCACTGTGGCACGTATAGCCAAAAGATTGTTCCTGGTCTTACAGGGCTCCATGCCTCCAAGGCTCCAACTCGCAAACTGTGGCACTGGGCTCCATGCCAGAAGCGCCGTCGTTCAAAATCAGCCATTGCCAGATAAAACGTACTCCGTATCCTGAACTTACTAGTATTAGTTTCCAGTTTTCCAGATGGAGTGTTGTGTGCAGACACCAGTTTGAGAACTGACACCCCAAGAAACTGCCCTGACTTGGATCTGTTGTTCTGTATACCTGTTTGATGGTTGCTAATTGCCCAGCAAACATCAACCAACTACTCCTGTAAGACACATAGTTAGCGCTGGCGGTTGAAATACAGTTTCATACATACGACTCGCAGCAGGCGCTAGGTACGAGAAGATACTACTGTAGTAGATCCTAGTAAGATTCGACCGGAGTGACCGACCACATCTGCGTCTGCACGGGCACTTCTGCAACAAAGCTGCAGCCGCAGTGGGGGGGGCTCGCGTCGTCGGAGGCCAAAGTTGCGGCACGGCAGAAACGACACGCGGGAAGTGGACAGCGTGTTGCCTGCGTGGGCGGTGTTGTCCCGTCCCACAAGGCTGACATGTCGCCATCTCCCGATCCACCACCACGGGCGCACGCGCGGTCGCGCGGGGGCCGCGAAGCGATGCGCCGGATGCGTAGGTGAGCTGAGTCGGCCAGTGCACCCTCCCCCTCCTCCTAGTTTCCCCAAACCATCCCCCGACCGGCGAACAGCTCGCCGTCCGCCCCCCGTGCCTCCCGCCGCGCGAATTCACTTCCCCCTACGCCGGGGGCTGTTCCTGTTGCTATTATAGCCCCCAATGGCGGCGGAGGCTCGGGCCGAGAGCCCCGCCGCGCCCGTCGTCGTACCCGCCGCGGCCTCCCCCGAGAAGCGCGTGCTCTCGGGTGACGCCGGGAGGGAGGAGGAGCGGCCCGAGCCGAAGCGGCGCAGAGCGTGCGTCGCGGCGCTCGACAGCGTCCCCTGCGCCGCGCCGCCGCTGGTTGACGGGGACGGCTCGTCCTTCTCCTTCCAGCACGCGCGCGGCGGCTTCGTGGTGCTCGAGACGACCCCCAAGTTCGGGTCCTTCAACCCGCCCGCCGCGGCTGCCGTCGGCCCGAAGCCTGCGCCGCCTGCCGGTGCCGGGCAGGGCTCGCCGGAGGAGGAAGGGGGACCGGCTCGCGAGGAGGCTGAGGCCAAAGACGGGAATTCGCAGTTAGTGGGGCCGGGCGTTCAGGGGCAGAAGACATGAGTGCTGACTTTGTTTTGACTTTTGACCAGCCATGCAAAGTTTGCTTGGAGCGGTAGCCAACTCGTAGTTTACGTCTACTTTTTTTTTTTTTGTGTAAATTGGTCCCATTTTTCTCTTGGTGTCGATGCAGTTGTGCATCACCATTGTTGCTCATTTCTGTTGCAGTCATGGGTTGTTACATTTGTTATGGAATGGAAATTTTCTTCAAAAATGCTGATGTAACATGTGTACCAAATGAGCTTCTCCCGTCGGCTGCGGCCATCACTCCTAACAAACACTTCTTTTGTAAAATCCAAACCTGGTGCTTTCTACTCACAGGAAGTGCAAACAGTTTTTGCAGGGAGGATGTATTCTGTCATATCAAGTGTGTCACTTGGTATGCCCGTAACAAGTTTCTACGACGCATGCTGCAAATACACACAGTAAACGATCTTACCTACACTTCAAAATCAATGATTGATACTCCTAGTCCCGTTAACAAATTTCAAGGTGGAATGGTTCTTTTCCTAGTGGAAGTACCATTTTAAAGCTAATCACAGTGAGTGCACACCTGTATGTTGTATCCTGTATAACCGCAAAATGAGATCTAATATAGAATCCACTCCCTCAGTCAGAAACTGATGCTACCTCCGGAGGTAAATCTTCCTCGCTAGTGATTTTCGATGAGATTGGTTCTCTGTACCACTCGTTCTCATTACGAGTGAGGAAGCAGGCCTCTGCACCAAAAAAAACATGGAACGTTAAAGATGACAGCCATGATAGCTACTCTCTCTCTCTCTCTTGTGTCTATTTATATTTTAGAACTCTGGGAGTGTTTGGCTAATGGGATAGGGAAATGATTTCCCACCCACCAAAATGCATCTTTAAATCCTAACCATTCATTCTCCCCGTTCCATTTAATCCAAACATTTCATTCATTTCCCAATTCCAATCCCACTCCTCATTTCCCATTATCTAAACACACCCTCTAGTTTTGCCATATATTCAGCAATTGTAAAACCTTGTCACAGTACTGAAATGAAAACATGAATATAGTGATGGGGAACTTAACAAACCTGACACAAAAGTATCCTTGTAGTCATCATCATCATACACAAATGCAGGCGGATCTGGTGAACCAATCCCAACAATTGTGCTTCCACTGCGTGGTACATATACAATATTATATCACGTAATTTATGATTGAACAATGTTCCATAAAACATAGATATACTTGATATATGCAATATATAACCTCCACCTTAAATATGCTTACGATGCTAAATTGGTAGAATGATTAATTAAACATCATTTTTTGACTTTTGGCATTTTCGATATAACTGGTGATTACACAACCAAAATTTCATAACTAAAGCTCTAAAATAATATAATGACTAATTAAACATCATTTTTTGACTTTTAACATTTTAGATATCAATGAAAATTACACAACCAAAATTTCATAACTGAAGCTCTCCAGAGACACTTTGAAAATGGCTACACTATGAATGCTATGTTTGGGAATATGATTGCTTTCAAAATTGAAAAGGAAAAAGAATAAATAAATTCATGAACTAGCTTAAGCGATTGAAAAATGTGGCCCCCTTACCTTCCTGACATAAAAACAGCATCATAATCTCCCCGGTTAGCAGCAATTATACGTTTCTTCAACCTCTTTAGTGATGGCAACACCTCAAATGCTGGAGGTTCTGGAAAAGATGGCAAGCACACGTACCATATTTCACTGAATGTTATTTTTCAGGGGATGCTTACTGGATGTAATTTTAAAAACATTATTGAATATAACATAAGTTCTGGTACGGGACTAGCATACGACAATTGCTGATACCAAATTGCATACCTAGATCATTAACACAGGCATCCTGTGATATCCCATTTTCAGTAATTTCCTTGAGCAATACCAAGGGATCAGTTTGACTTGTGTGCTCTAACCTGAGCCGCTGCAGTGCAAGTATTTTAGTAAATGATTCATTTCAAAATTCATGCTATGAAAATATGTTACCTTGTAAACTTCAGCTGTTGAGCATGCTTCAGGTGGCTTTACTAGTACCATCGGCAAATTTGCTGGCAATGGATTCCGAATATCTTCAACAATCTTCATACATTTAAGTCCAGAGTTGGAGATTATGATCAGACATTTTTGGAGCAAGGCAATATTGATCAAAGATATACATCTCCATACCAATGTTGTCAAAAATAACAAATTAATAACTAATAGGTACTTTTTCAAGCAGCAATTTAGTACAATTCCTCTCTAAGAGAGCATATAGCCATATACTTGGAACAGATAGAGCAAGGGGAATTTTATAAATAAGCAATCGCTAGCATATAATGAGCCAATTGCAATAGCATGACCAGCTAAATCAACTAAGCGGGCAACCATTAATAAGTTGATACCAACAAATCAATAAACACTGCAGTTTCTAGTCAAGAATGAGATGGCTTTCATTGCAAACCATTTCAACATATTGCTCATAATCTGGTAAAAAAAGTTTCATTAAGTTGACAGGCAAAAACATGGAACAAGCTAAAAAATAAGAATACATTCATATAGACTGTAACTCTAGAGGTACTGTACTTTCGGAAAACTGAACTGTACTACCAAGGTTGCTAGACAGAGATGAAAGGTCAATATAAGAACATGACATCAGCCAACACAGCAACTTGAGCAAATTAGGGAACACTGTACATGCTGAAATGAACTACAAACTATTCACGGCAATTAGAAGCAGTTTGTGAAATACCTCTCCTCTACCGGTACAATACGCTGCTCCTTGTGAAAAGAAGAAGGGAATATCCGATCCTATCTCTCCAGACCACTCCTGAAGCTCCTTTTCTGAAGCAATGCAGCCACTAAACTGGTTGGCGGCCCACAGCGCAGTTGCAGCATTACTGCTTCCACCACCAAGACCAGCACCAGTAGGGACCTTCTTATCAAGATGAATCTGTTTTTCAATTAAGAGAAAAGTAAAGATAAGCCCCAGCATACCAAAGAAAAAAAATAAACAGAACAGAATTCAGTCTCTTTGATAGAGAAAACTTTATACTAGTAGCAAAAATTGATGTATAATCCCTTGGTAGAAATGTGCAATTGGCATTACCCAAAAAAAGTTGTCAGTTCCAGTTTTCTTGCGGTAAAGATTGAGTGCCTTGATGATCTGCAGATTCATGAAATAGAATAGTAAAGTTAGTCAGCTAGAAATACATATAGAGCATTTATTAGTAAGATGAAGAATGGCAGAAGTATCTGTAGCCACATACCAAATTGCTTTCATCAACTGGGACACCTGCTACATTGGTTGACAAGCGATCTTTGCTCTTACTTGGTGACAATGAGAATTTGATAGTATCACCCAAACTTATCACCTAAGATTTCCTTAACAGAATTATTAAAAGTGAAATCAAAACAAATTTATGCAGCACAATAAGTATATGACCACACTAATAGGAAGGAACCACTGTAACATAATGATATGTTAGATTGCATCCTATAATTGCAGACAATACGACATAGGCCCCTGTAAGTTAGTTTTATTTAAAATTGCACGAACCAAAATGGGTGCATATCAGCATGTGATCGGAAGTTCATAAAGTCCCTTTCCTAACTCCTAATGTATATTTTTTTTCCTGTTGCCCAAAGCAGGTGCAATTGCTCAAGAGTCAAGAGTTCACCTTGGTTTAAATATAAATGTCGCTAACAACTCTAGTTTATCATTCAGAATCAGCATATTTATATTTATGTTGTACACCATGGAAGGTTGCAAAGAGGAATGGTCGGAGTTTCATATGTCTGTTGATGTCAGGAAATAGAAGATGAAATTGTTTTTGCATATTTTTTCCTATAGTGATTGCTTTATGTAGTAAACCAGTAATACTTTTCTGTTTTCTATTTTGTCCTTTGGCATGTTAAATCACATAAATTCCTGATCGCTGCATATAGTCTCTTGCTTGGACAAATAATAACAATGTCTATTATCCCAGCAAACTATTTTTGAACATTGAAAAAAATGGATATATTATGAACTGTAAAACACCTTTGTACGTTCATGCATGACATATCAAAGCAGGTACAAGTAAAATGCTCACATGAAACAGAGAAGCCAGGTCATGGAACCCATCTGGTCTCTTACCCGTTATCCTCAAGAACACATTAATCTACACCAAAAAAAAGGTATATAAAATGAGTCAGAAGCACAATAGAAACGATCAAGCTTTAAACTATTCTTAAAACAAAATCGCTGGGTACATACTTTGCAAGGTGAGAATAGGTTCAGCCGTGTAATCCCAGCATTCTGGTCAATTTGGTCCGCTAGCTTGTTGAACTTTGCTTGTAGATCATACTCAACCTAAAGTACACACCATTATAAACTATATACTTATTGTGTCAGGAAAAGAAAAGGACTTCAGAAGAATTTTTAGAAGCTCCCAAGAAAACAGAATTTATAAAGAAAGGATAAGCATTAAGAAAGGAAGCTATTTGAGCATAATGGGTAAGATTCAAACTGAACAACAGAAGTTATAGTATGATGATCTAACCAAGGGGTGTCATCATTAAGAAATTGGATCCATTTGGAACCCGGGAAATGGAAAGGAAATGCGAGTGCAGACCTGGTTTGGAAACACAAATACTCAATGAAATAGCAGGAACAGGGAGAAAACGTAATTAACAGATGACGATTCCAAGAGCAGGCAGTCAGCCTTCTTATCCATATCCATGTGCTCTTCGGCATTGCGCCCTGGTTCCAATCAAATAGGGGAAGTTTTGCACTTTTGCTCTCTTATCATCGAGTGCACGCGGGGAGAGATTGCGGCAGCACGGAAGAAGCCAAACGTGGTCGCGGCTGGTGGTGGAAATGACGCCGACGGCGAACGTCCGACCGCCAACCCCGAGCAAGACGGAATTCAGCGATGGACGACTCCGGCGTCGAGCGAGAGGATCGGCAGGGAACGTCCCCCGCGACGGGACCTTCGTGCCACCGACGGCTCAGCGACAGCTGAACGCGGCACCTCTAGCTCGCCCTCGCCCGTAGGAAGTTTTCAAAATCAAGCTGGTGATTCGCCTCTGAGTTTAGCGTGATTGCTTTGCATCAGCTCAAAATCTTCCTCCGTGCATTCCTCTAGTTTAGTACGAAACCAAAACGGACGAACATCAAAGCTAATTCTACGCGCTTCTCCGCTGCAATCCAAATTATGAAATTAATCCCTCCCAATCCAAGCAGGTAATATGGGGGCGAACGCGACGGCAGCTTACCTCCACTTGCCTCCTCCCTTGCTCCGCCGACGCGGCGACTCTCAGGCCCAGCGCCCGGCGGCGACTGGTGCCGGAGCCGAGCCTCACACTGGGAGAAGCCTGGAACCGGAGGTGCCCGCGCGCGGCTGCCGGGTTAGCGCGGTTGAGCGGGTAGAGGCTCTGGGACAGGAGGTGGGTGGAGCAAGCCATGGCTGCTCCTGCGGATGCTGCTGCTGCTGCTTACCAGAGGCGAAGAGGAGCGCAATGGGTGAAGGCTCTTGGAGATGACGGGGATTGAGCGCCGCTTCGGTCAAGAGGTCGTCGACATGTGTTTGGAATTTGGAGCTACTAGGGATGGGTTTAGATAGTCCAATACTCTGATGTGAGAAAATTATGACTAAATTAGTATTGGCAGTTTGCTTTTCTCCTAAAATAAAATTACTACTAGTAGTCTGCTCGCTGCGCTGAAGGACAGAATGGGATTATGCTCAAAAGGCGCGACTTCCACCTCGTGCCAAGACTCGTGTTAGGCGTGGTCGGAGCTCGGCAATTCAAAAAATTCGCAATCAGCATCCTGACGTCTCTGGGTAGTGGGTACTGTACTGACTATTGAGCTAGCATGCTTTTCTTATGCTAAGGAATGGAAAATCGAGCATGCGTTTTCTGATTGGATTCTGCTCATCAGGACGTTTTCATAGTCCATAATCCATACGAATGATCAGACATATCACATATTCACTTGTAGTTTACCATAGCATCCCTGGCAGTACAGCATATAGCTCATTGCTCAATAGTTGATGTACAGTTATACACAGCCCCAGCATATGGGATAGAACGGCACATGCAACACAAGGTTTGTTCTAGGCGAAAGCCTCACACACCCAACACGACACCCATAAATTATCCACCTCCTCTTTAAGAGGTTGAAGCCAAGAGGAGTGGACACTGATATGTTGGGGGGTCTTGCTGCAGGAAGTTCAGTAGTCGTAATGCCACTCAGAATAGGTCATCTGGCCAGCATCGTCATGAACTGTAGGCTCACCAACACCTCCTTCGTGCGTGTAGGAACTGGAATCAGGAGTAGGTGAATCAAATGGCCAGAGAAACGAGAAAGAACCGTGCATTTCATGGTTTCTGCTGTCGTCGCTTCTTGCAACAGGAACAGGATCAGCATCAGATCTGGCAACCCCATGGCTAATAGCTTCGTTAGAGTGGGTTGACGATGAACGGGTGCTGCCTGAACGGTGGGAAGATGACGGCAGTGGATGGCGGCAAACTGGACAAGAATTGTGCTGAACCAGCCAGGGAATGATGCATTCAGCATGGTACAGATGCTTGCATGGCATCTCCCGTGCCTCTGTTCCAACCTCAAATTTGTCTGTGCAAACTGGACAGTGAGGATCATCTCTAAGGTGCCTGAGGTTTATCTTTACCACAGGCATGGAGTCAATTGCAGACTGTGGAGCTGGTGGTGGTCCTTGACGGTTATTATGCAGGAGCAGCTGTTCGAATAGAGCTTCAAGACTGGGACCGACTAGGAAACGACTGAAATTTGGACGGTCCGCGCCAATTCTGCGGCCTTGCCTGAGGAGTATATCTGCTTCTTCACTACTGCTGCTTACACGATCAGGTGCATTGCTGCCAAATATGAGCATTGGTCTAACAGTTGGCTGCCTTCCTTGATGGGAACTTGCCCCTCTCGTACCATGGAAATCCAACACACGATTTCTGCCCATTTCTGCCATCCGTTGTCGCATAAGGTCAGACATAGCCTCCACCATTCCAAAACTTCTATCTCGACGCTCATCAAAGCTCGGGTCAAAGATACCATAAGTGTTCAATGAACCACCTATCTCACTGATTTCTTGTATAAAACCATCATTGCAGTTGGGGCATGTAATATCTTGTCCACTAACACGAATTGGACGTCGGCAGGCATAACACCAATGCGTGGCTCTATTTGGCATCTTGTCTGTGTGAAAAATTAAGCAATCAGCATTAGAAAATATTTTCTACAAAGAAAGTACCAAGCAAAAAAAATATTGAAACATGTACTCCAAGGCTACAATACAATTTGCTACAGATCACACTTACTTGGAGGATGAGGGAACAGTTACACCCAATTGATGTTTATAAGACAGATTTGATCACTACGACTGGCTAATTTTGGGAATGAAACCCCAGGCAGGGCTCTGTAGGGAGAACCCATTACTAGGATTTACATAGTACTACGAGTAGTATACTCTACGGAACTATGTAATCAAACGTATGTGAGAGTTGGAGTGAGGTATTGATCACTGAATAGTGAATTCTTACCCCACTATCTAAAACATACTGTCACTAACAACATGGCTCACTGGCGGATCTAACATGGGACATGGGGGTTCAGTTGAACCCCAAACACTTGTTAGGAATCATCAACCTGTTACTATTATTAAGGTTAAGGCTAATTTCTAGAACAGAAGATAGGGTTAACGCAAATTCGAGAAAAAAAGTGCGTGGGTAGAGAGAGAGAGATGGGAAAGAGGATGTACCGATGCGGCGGAAGCAGCAGGATGAGCGACGGCGACCCTCGCTCGCTCGCGCGATGGATGGGGATCGGAGCAGGCGGCGGTGGCGGAGGATGTGCTCACCAGGATGCGGCGGAAGCGGCAGGACGAGCGACGAAGCCGTACTCGCTCGCGCGATGAATGGGGATCGGAGCAGGCAGCGGTGGCGGAGGATGTGCTCACCAGGATGCGGCGGAAGCGGCAGGACGAGCGACGAAGCCGCAATCGCTCGCGGGATGGGAGAAAATTGACATTTTGCCATTGTCAAAACGGGGTTTCGCTCGAATGCCACTCCCAAAAGTGGTTTCGTTAAAATACCATCCTCAAACAGGGGCAACATGTTGTAATGCCATTTTATCCATTTCTTCTCAATTTAATGATTTTTGTAGTGTTTTTTTTGCTGAGATGACTAAAATACCCTTTATCCTATCTCATCTCTCTCTCTTCTTCCTCTCCGTTGCATATACACAGCACGGCTCGGCGGCGTGGCTGTGGACGGGGACGACGCCAGCTAAGCTGGGGACGGGGACGGGGACGACGCCGGCGTGGGTGGGGAAGGCTGCCCCCAAACCTAGCTGATGCCGCCTCCGCCATAGCCGCCACTGTCACCCTGGCCTCAGATGTAGCAGCCGCCTTGCCCTCAGATCTAGCCGTCCGTCGCACCACCGTCGTGTGTGTCATCGGGATGCTTCTTGCGTGAGGGAGGGATGGCGACGGTGGAGCATGTGGACATACAGGCGGTGGCGTCGGTGCAGCTGGGGATGGGGAAGGCGGCGACACGGCTGGGGACGGGGACGGGGACGGGGATGGCGGCGGCGCCGACATGGTTGGGGCAAGTGGGGATGTTATCCTACGTCGCCGCGGATGGCGTCGCCGGCGCCACCGTCGTCCCAGCCACGCCGCTGAGCCGAGCAGCCTTCTCCACCCACGCCGGCATCATCTCCGTCCCCAGCCGCGCCGGCGCCGGGGATCCATCTCCTCCACGCAAGTCAACTAAATGGTCACAGGGGCAATTTTGTCACACCACGGTGGAAATCATTTGCAAATCAGCTAATTTTGTCAAAATGGCAAAGTAGCAATGTGGCGTCGTCCGAAAATGGCATTATAACGAAGCCACAATCCGGAGTGGCATTCTGGCGAAACCCCATCCTGACGATGGCTAAATGTCAATTTTCTCGCGGGATGGATGGGGATCGGCGGTGGTGGCCGGTGGGCAAGGGCAAACTCACGCACGACAGACTGACAGAGAGGCGTCAAAATGGCGAGGATAGTTTAGTAATTTGGACTAGCACTTGCTTTGCACATCCCATCCCCCCGGCCCATACGGAGCTTCTGAAGATGATGATCTTTGAGACATTGGATTTTTTTTATTTTACTTTTTCTATAGGGTTAAGATGATAAATAATGGAGACACAACTGACAACTAGAGTGTGCACTGGAATATCATAACCTTCTACCTCACTCTCCAAAATCCAAAAAAAAAAAGTGCGCGTACCTCTCACTCTTTCAATTTCATAGTTACCTTTATCCCAGACCCACCTACCTCCTAACATCTAAATTTTAAATAAATTTTTCTCTTAAATTACATATTCGGTTTATAATCCAATTATATTATTGTGTTCGTTATAACTAAATCTTTACAATGAAAACTTACATGATTATATCTGATAAAAATATCTATGTTTTAAATTACGTTTATTATATATGTAAGTTACTTTTTATCATATACTCCCTCCGTTTTTTAATAGATGACGCCGTTGACTTTTTCTCACATGTTTGACCATTCGTCTTATTCAAAAATTTTATGCAAATGTATAAGATATAAATCACACTTAAAAAGTACTATGAGTAATAAAACAACTCATAACAAAATAAATTATAATTATATAAATTTTTTGAATAAGACGAATGGTCAAATATGTGAAAAAAAGTTAATGGCGTCATCTATTAAAAAACGGAGGTAGTATATATATGTATGTATATATATATATATATATATATATATATATATATATATATATATATATATATATATATATATATATATATATATATATATATGTATATATATATAGTAAATTTGTTTGGTGCTCCATGGTGCCCGGGCACCATTGTTGAAATTGAGTATATACCTAATTCAAATGAGTATGAAACTTTTTCAATTACTTAGATATTAACATTAGCTACTTTACTAACTAGTTCAAAGCAAGTTTGAACTGAATTTGAACTTGTTTTTGTTAGATTTTGATTCTAGGTATATAGCATCCATGCATATAATTAGTTAGGTATGTAATCATGGATTGTGAAATAAAGTTAAATTTGAGTTGTTTTGTTGATAGGTATAGGTATGAATCGAGTTATTATAACTAGGTATATACTCACAATTTGAAAATTTTGAAAAATTTGAGTGATTTTGTGTATTTGATATCATGGTGCCCGGGCACCATGGTGCCCCATATGAGTGTCCTATATATATATATATATATATATATATATATATATATATATATATATATATATATATATATATATATATATATGTTTTAGATTTGATTAAATTACTTCTTATACATTCATAATGTTTTGATCTGTTTACTTTTATTACCGTGTTTAGTCAGTTCCATAATTTGTGCTGATTTAATTTAGTTTCTAGGTGGACTCATGTTTTCACCCCTAAAACGGATTTACTTATAATGTCGTGACAACTTACTTATATTTTGTGCTAAGTTACTTTAATTATTTATATAATTTACTTTTAGGTATTATCGAATTTTCTTTCATAAATGTCTAAAAAGTATTTTAGTCAAATAGAAAAGTAGTTTACATATACGATAAAAGTAATTTAAAACACATATATATTTTATCAGGATGTAATCATGTGAGATCTTGTTATCAAGATTTTATTGCAATGAATACAGCAGCGTAATCGAATCGTAAATCATATAAGTATTTTAAGAGAAATTTCTATAATAAGTAAAAAAAAAAAGACATGCATGACCTAATAGCAAACTTTAGACGTGGAGTAGTAGTTCTCTCACATGGTCAGCGTCGCTCGTTGATCCAATGTTGCGCGATAGGACAAAAGAAGAGTGCTTTCAATTTAGATTTTGCCATGTTGGCCCCATGTGTGGTGTCTGAAGCCTATACACAACCTAGTGAGATGTCGGGTCATGTCATGTTGGCATGGCAAGATCTTGCCATGTTGGCCCCACGTGTTGAGTCTGAAACCAAGACACAACCTAGTGAGACGTCAGGTCATGTTATGTTGGCATGGCAAGGTTACGTGGGAGGTGTGAAGGCTGGTTAGCCCAAATTTGATATATGCCAAGAAAAAAATGCGAATAGAATCTGTTGCATCCTACTGCACAAACTTCGGCACACCACCTTGGCTCTTCACTTCCAACTTCGTTTGCCCCAAACCGGTAAGCCCACAATGATCGACATGCTTAGCGGTTGTGCTCATGAATAGAGTTGGCCACACCACGATGCTACCATGCAGGCCTACGCTGAAGAGCATCCTCCATCGCTTCCTTCGCCCTGAGCCCCTGGCTTCATCGATTTTTTCCGTTCTACTTTTCTCCTGGCTCTTGCTCGGATGACAGTTGCTCGACTAGCGGTTGTTCGCTTGTCGTTGGTCGCCATCATATCGCACGGGCCAAGCTGTGTGCTATTCCTGGGCCATATCATACTGGCTCACTACATGCACTTATTGTGTTGGCACGTCAGGCTGGGTAGCAGCCCAAGCACGACATGGCTAGATGGGTCGTGCCTGCATGACCCTCAGCCAAACATACTGTTTTGTTCCTGGGCTGCGAGCCTGCGAGCTGCACATGTGGGACATGTGGGCCTAGGAAGACACAGAAGGACCCAACCCATTTGACAATCTATAGGAGAATTTGGCAAATTCATAGCCATTCGTATGTTTCTACGGATGAGATCAATTAAGACACCTCAGTCGCACCAAATTAATTTGATTATTATTGATTTAAAGGGAAACTATTTTTTAAAGATGTTTCCTTCCATAATAGCGATTACCCTCCAGCCAACACTAAAAAATAACACTCTTTTACCAAAATAACATGCAAGCACAATATAATCTAGAAAACTATCCATTTTCTTCTTATTTTTATTAGATCAATTTTAAGTTGCGTTGTTTGAGACAAAATTTATTTCAACATGCCCGTCGCGTGCGGGAGGACGCTAGGTGGCGTGGCGCGCCCCGGCACCGCACAGTCAACAATACCATGAGAGTCGTTATTAGGGCAAGTTTTATATAGAGGTGGTAGTCATCTCCAATTTTATCCACATCATCCATCCATAAAATTAAAACTAACTTATATAAATGCATTGCATTTAATACACTAGTCCCAATACACTTGTCACCAATAAACCCCTCTCATTTTCTCTTGTTCTTGAAATTCGTATGGAGGTTGCTCCTTGCATGAGGGGTGAGTCCTCCTCCTCCTCCTCCTCTCTCTCTCTCCTCCAAATCATCATTTAAGCATACATGACACTTTAGAGTTTGTGCTTAGAACTTTATAGTACTTGCCTTTAGGGACGTCACACTGGCTTGGCCTTCTGCCGCCGTCGGACTTTTCACTGGGCCGTACTTCAGTCGAGATTTCGAATGTAGCTGTATTTGTTGTATATCAGTTGTGTTCTTTTGGAGGGGTTGGGAACCTCTCCCCTCCGCAAGCAAAACGAAGCGATAGATTAACACATGATTAATTAAGTATTAGCTATGATTAATTAAGATGAGTTATGAACTATGGGAGACAACATATCCCGTAGAAGAGAACCTTTGCCCTCCTCGACGTGGACTAGTCTGCTTGCTCTAAAGCTAAAGCTTTTTGGGAGCGTAGTTACAAGTAGTCTATAGTACTACAGCTCTCTCTTCCAAAAAGTTTCATTAGGATTTTATTCCTATAATATCCTATCGATTGAAAGAATGGAACTTTTAAAATCCTATGAATTTAGTGTCGTATGTCCCATATTTATATATAAAAGTTATCTTGTTCTGGAATGTTATGTATAGATTTATATACAAAAGATATCTTCTTCTGAGATGGATGAAGTAGGGAACTTTTACCCTAGATAGCACGGTTGGTTTTATACATCCTGATACATAAATCCGCTGTAGAAACTGGTTCCGAGGTTAGTGAAGGCTAGACACTCAGAGATGTTTAGCAGGCAAGAATATGAAGTTGAATGGAATGCATGTATACAAACGCGCAAGCACAGCGAGCCATTTCACAGCAATAGTGCTTCAGAGCATACTTTCGTCAGCGATAGTTTTCACTGAACAGATGGTGATCCTTCTCTTGTACACGAGGAAATCAAAGTCTGTGTAGTCTCGAGTTTTGACTCTTGAATAGCCAGATAAGCAACATATGGTAATAACAAACATCACCTAGATAGAATTATGTCCAGCGAGCAAAAAAAATGGCATGTACATACATCTCTGTCTCATTATAACAGCTACCTGAAAAGATATATTAGTATTAGTATCTGGCGAAAATAGTTCTAGCAAGAGAAACCAACATCAGGAATAAAGTTCAGCTCGTCTTGACGCTTGCAGTATTCTGCAGAACGTAAACCACATTTTGGCATACTGACTATTGGCCTCTTCTAATACTATCATACAGTACAGCACATATCACACTTCATAATAAATCATAAGTACCCAACACTTACAGTCAGTAACATCTGCATTGGTAGACTAATTTTAGACTTTTACTCGTATCATAGCCACCATTTTATTCGAGCAGGCTATAACAACGGAAAGCTATTACCCACAAGGTCGCAACATCAAGCAACCGGAGCTAGCATGGAGAACTTATGAGGAACTTGATAGTTTCATTCAGTCAATGAGGCAGAATTCACAAAGCTTGGAATGACATCCACTGAATTCACCATTTTGGGAATATCAAGCTCGTGCGAAATAATGCCAGTTCCATCAATCCCGCAATCCACAATTGTTGGTCTAGAGCTCTCTTCCCGGACTGCTACCTCAGTGCTAGTGTTAAAGCACGGAGAATGGTCTGTACAAGTAACAGAACCAAAACTGCACTGCTTCTGAAAGGGGAAAGTACCAATCTCTGCATCAATCTTGCCTCGGATATCAAACAAAAGGGCTCTTAACCTCACCACCTCAGCCTCGAGTGATATATGCCCCTGCAATCTCCTCAAGAGCTGCTGATTTGTGGTGCGAAGTTTCTTGACTTCCTCCTCCAAGAAAGCTGCATGCGCTTTCTTCTTCTCTCGGTACTTGCGCACTGCTTCTCTATTTCCCAGAGGCTTACGGGTCTTTCTCAGCTCCTCTTCAACATTGTTTTCACCAGAAGCCATGACTTGAATGTGTGTGTGGAGGCATGTGTGAGTATGCATAGCAACTGATGGACCCGGTGGATTGCAAGTGTGTGAGTGAGTACACGTAGTTGTGTTCTTTAGGAGTTCATCAAAGCCATGGGAGATCTCGGGATGTGAAAACAGAAGGTGGCTTGGAATTGGTAGGTGAACTTCATCATCCATAGTCACAAAATGTGCCAAGAAAACTCTCCTCCTATGGTTTAACTGTGCAAGTTGGAGAAAAGTGCCAAAAGCACTTCAACAACTCAAGAACTAGGTGACCTTGTTCCATAAAAGCTTACCGATTTAGCAAAATCTTATGTGAGCAAGAACAAAACTAAAGCAAATTCATGTAACCCCTAGATTATTGATTAGTGATTTAATAGTCAAAAGATCATGTAAGTACCAAATTCCCATGATGGCCAGAAGCATGAACATATGGACAACTATCACCACTAAATAGCAAAACCTCACAAGATCGCAATTAGGACAAAACTTCCTGCATAAGTGTTTGGTGTCCAAATGGGAGAAATAACATCAGTATATGAGAGCAGGTTATTCAAGAAAGTGAACACAAGAGAGTTGAAAAGTACCCAAACTCCTGAACTACGAAGCGCATCAAGAACTCATATTGACGAGGGGAAGGCTAGAATTGATGGATTGTCCTCGCAAGAGAAGAAGCCTTCTTTGCCTTTTCCCTACACTTTTCAGTCCATCTCCTCTCCACCAATCTTTTCTTAATGTTTGCTTGCCTTCTCTATTATTTTATTTTGGATATCTCAGAGGTAAGGCAACTATAAAAATAGAGGGAGGAAAGCATTGGAAAGTGATGTTATTGGAGGAGTAGAGAGGATAGAAAGGGAGAGAATCCTAGTTCTTTGTGACTATTCATGGCATTTCTTTCTACACAGTGATTTAATGTTGAGATTCTTTTGCTATTCATTTCAACCAGCAGCATTTGGCAAGGTGGGATTCAGCTAGTATTCTAGCAACTTGACAGAATTATTATCTTAGAATATGATCCCTTTTGAAGCACGCGACTATTAATGGGAATATTTCATTGGACAAGAATACAGCAGGTCCAATGACAATTTGGAAGCCATGTGCATTTTCTTTTCCTCCTCTAATTCCTTGCTATCAACTGCTAACAAGGACTTAAAGAATTTGCCAATCAATTCGTTGTTAATTGAAGATTTTACACTGAAGGTCTCACTAACATCTGAGAAGGGATACATGCAAGTGAGGCATGGGCTAGAATTCTAAAATGGCAACAAATGAAGTGGCAAATTCTCAAATTGACTATTGATTGGTTATGTGAACTATGTTAGCTAATTTTAGTTCACATTTATACACTAGACTTTTATGAATCTCGTGATCCTAATGGCTCTCCTGTGTTACTTACAGAGTTATAGCCCGCATGGTTCCATGTAATAATATAACAAAATACAGCTAAAATGAAAGTGACATGTGACAATAACAGCCAGTGGGAGTGCGGCATGCTGGCACAGTAATGCCCACGGCCCAAGAACCCAAACATAGATTATATGCAGTTTGGATTAGGATAGAGCAATAATTGACCACTTTATTGTATGTCGTCAACAGAAGAAGTGCTGTTGAATTATCGACATTTCACATCATGCGGCATTAGCATTAGCCAAAGCGCTAGGAACACATGAGATTACTTGTAGGTTCTGATATTATTCCTCAACAACATGCAAGCAATCACAATTCACAATAGATGTAACAATATCGAATATATAAAAAGAATACCCATTTTTTTCCCAACTAGTATCCAAGAAAAGCTACCAACTTCTGAATGGGACAATTGCTATGCTTCTGCCAAGTGCTTTTTTGTAAAGGCGATTTCACTCGAATTTCTTACTGTGCTATAGGCTCGATTTCGTCGTGTGTTCTTCTCCGTCTCCGATGACTTCTTCCTCCACCGCGAGGCTTGTCGATCCAGGCGAGCGGTGCACCACCGGCGCATCGCGCGTCCTCATCCAGCGAAGCCGGCTTGCCAGCGCAGCCAACGAACACCACACAACCGAAGCTTGCCCCCTCCTCCGGAACGCCCCCACTTGCTCCACCATAGCCTTTTAGCCTCTCTTCTTTTTCGCCTTTGTTAGCCTTTGTTTCGCGCCTGTCGCCATTGATCTTCGCTGCCGCCAACGGAGGCGCCTTAGGCAGCGAGCGAGGGTGGTGGACTGGTGGTGGGGGTGAACAGGAAGCGCGGGGGAAATCGACGCAACGGAGAGCTGAGGAACACAGCCCTCGTCGCCGGCGTGGGAGCTCAGCGGCGATGGTGCTGGTGACGGCGAGGCGGCGCTAGGGCTCGAGTGCTCGACCCTCCCCGTGAAAAGGCACATGCGTTGGATCTCTATCCAACGGGTGAGAAATTGACTGATTTTTTTTCGATTGGCCGAATAAAAATGTAAATGGGCCTTCTAGCTTGTTCGGCCCAAGGCCCGCTAGTGTCGGCTTCCTACCTCCATTGATTTGAGACCACGCAAGCGCAGCAGCCCAGTCAGAAGCACACGGAGCCAAGCAAAATGCTCGCCCTCCGCAAAACCCTCCTCCACGGCCGCCTCCCCGCCGCGCCGCCGGCCGCCGCCGCCGCCGCCATCGCGTCTAGGATCCCCGCCCTCCTCCGTCGCCTCTCCTCTTCTCCCGGAGACGGGCAGGGCGGGGACGAATGGGGCTCGTCCTGGTCCACCGGCATCACCAAGGAACACTTCGACGGCTCCGACGCCGCGGTCGGCCGCCCGGTCACCTCCCCGTCCAAGCCGGTCTCCCCTGAGCTTGCGGCCGTCCGGGCCATGGACGAGGAGGACGAGATCTTCCGCGCCATGGAGCGCGACAACAGGGAGGCCAAGGCGTACGTGGACTCGTGGGGCGACCGGATGCGGGAGACGTGCGAGCTGCTGAAGCAGGTGCGCGAGCCGGGCTCCCGGGGATCCTACCTCAAGGACTCGGAGAAGCAGGAGATGTACCGGCTGCACAAGGAGGACCCCGAGACGTACACCGTGGAGCGCCTCGCCAAGGACTTCCGCGTCATGCGGCAGCGGGTGCACGCCATCCTGTGGCTCAAGGAGATGGAGGAAGAGGAGGAGAGGAAGCTGGGCAAGCCGCTCGACGACTCCGTCGAGGTCCTCCTCGACAGTTGCCCAGAGTACGTGAGGAGTTTGTTTACTTCCTAACTTTGTGTTGGTAATACTAATTAGATCAGGTTCTGATTGGATGGATTCTTTTGAAGGTGAGGGACAACTGGAATAGTTAAAATCATAGGTTTAACCTGCAAAAGAACATTTTGATAGTAAACCGATGGCAATTAGAAACAGAAAGAGGACCATTTCATCTATAATAACTTGAAAAGTCTGCTGAATTATTAAATTATTCCTGAATAGTATTGCACATTTCACTGGATCATATCTTCTGTTGTTAATACTTTAGCTAAGATTAAGTTAGAGCGGTGTGATCTAGGATGAAGCGACTGGTTTCTAATGCAAGTGACAGTTGGAAGCTCTACGACATGTGTTTTGTGCTTACATATGTACACAAAGGAATGTGATGATGTCTGAAATCTTAGAGGGGATGAGGATGCCAAGAGGTCCAGAACCCAGTATGAAGTGATGATTTTGTTTGTCTTAATGTTATTTGTTAGAAATAGAATTACTATTGGCATCAAATCCTTCTGTTAATCTTAGTTGCCTTCAGGGGTGAATCCAGAACAAAAATGACCCGCTGTCCCATGCATAGCACTAAATCTCTACAATACTCAAAATAAAAGAGCACCTTGTATTTAACGGCAATCAATATTACAACCCTATGGTTTCGCTTATGCTTATGCATATCCGGACAGCTTTTTATTAATCAAAAAAATATTTTTTGGGTAAAACTTTTATATACGATTCAAAAGCAAATGTTGTAAAATAAATTAGGATAAAAAACCACAAAATTAACTCCAAAATTAAGTTCTAAAATTTAAAATTTAGTTTATAAGCATAAGCATAAGCAAAATGATGAGTCTGAACGCTTACCAAAATCAAAACGTATGATGGTATTAAGCAAAATATGAGTATCCAACTACAATAGCACGCAAAAGGACATACAAAGCTGTTATTTTGTTGCTTGCAGGCTAACAGGTGTCCAATCAGGCTAGGGATTGTCGCAATGCATGTGCATAGGCTGTTACAGTGAAAACAAGAAATTCAACCTGTGTCCTGTGCATCATGTTGTACTAACATGAATTCGCCCCAGGTTGCCTTATTCTTGAATAATCGGTATATAAGAAGTGATAAGCTGTGTGTGTCAGTTTGCATGTGATTAAAAAAAATCTCTTATGACGTTAATACTCCGATATAGTGAGCTTACTGGTTTACAAACTATTTATGGTTCTTGAATCTGCAGCCTGGAAATTCATATTGGTTTCTCTGCTTTAATCATGTAGAATTATCTTCTTGTGTTGATCTTGTCGCATGCAGTTTATGTGCGTGTTTATTCTTATTTCTGCCCCTTCAATAATATTCTTGCTGAGATATGCGGCATCTTACTTATTTTCCTCTCCTATGCAGGTTTTTCAATTCCCATGATAGGGAATTTCATGTTGCATCACTTCCTTATAAACCTGACTTCAAAGTTATGCCTGAGGGCTGGGATGGCACAACCAGAGATCCTGATGAGGTTCTGTATGAGATTTCAATGAAGGAAGATCAGATGCTGTATGAGGAATTTGTTCAACGGTTACAGTTCAACAAGAAGAAGGTGAGGATCTTACATTTCTATTTCTCCCTTTCATCATCTTTAATTAAATAATTTGGTAGTGTTGTCTTTGTTTTTGTTAAGTCTCAGTTAAAGCTCCTGCTGTTTATATGTAGTGATTAGTGAATTTGATGTTCTCTTTTGATATGGAAAGGCAAACATGGGAGACCCATGATAATAATTTGTTGGAATTTGTTTCCTTTTGTATTGGAAGATAAAACACTCGAAGCTATGGAGTATCTTCTGTGTAAGATAACTTCATGCCAAGCTATATGCATATGAGCCAGAAAATACATGATGTTTAAAGACTTAAGGTCCATTGGTTACTGACCATCTTAATGGATCTTCTGTGTTTTCCCTTAAGTGATGAGTGATAGGATTCTGACCTTCCTTCCTTCTTTTTTTTTTTTTGAATTGCAGGTGGCAGGCGAGGTGAAGTGTCATAAGTACAGCCGACGACGGCCCGACGATGGATGGACCTACATGGTTGAGAAACTTGGAGCGCAGTCAAAGCGGGGCTCTGGAGGTGGCTGGAAGTTCGCCAGTTTACCTGATGGATCAAGCCGCCCACTAAACGATATGGAGAAGATGTATGTGAAGAGGGAGACTCCAAAACGGCGGAGGAGGATAATGGCACCCTTCAAGTAACAAGAATACACTCTACTTACCGTTTTGCAGGTTTTCTTAACACTCTTTTGGCATTATTCAGGAAAGCAGAAATACTGAAACCGTCTCAAGTTTTAACCACCAGTGTTGGTCCTGTCCTTTTGCAGCATAGGGAGGTGGTTATTGTATTCATGTCATTTGTAGCAAGTTCCGTTGCCCCCTTCTATATTTGAACTGTTGGCGTATCACCATCACCTCATTGCCAGGCAGCACACTCGATAACCTTGGGTTGCCAGGCAACTTGTAGTCAACATTTCATAAAATCACCTTTTGCAATGTGATGCACAGTTATGTTTAATGCAAGTAAGGAAGTAGTCCATAATTAAGGTTGCTTGTAGCTGTGGATGGAAGGCCTAAAATACATTGGTGATCTTCCTAAGATACATTTGTGATCCGGGGAGATATGCTTTTCTGATTGTCTTAATAAAATCGTAGTGCGTTTTTTCCGCTTAAATCTCATCACGACTCACAAGTGTGAATTATATATCAATGAGTAGCTGCTACCGTGGTAAGTGAGATGAGACATTCAAGTTCTTTTATATGATTTTTGTGTTGAACAAATCCCCAGCTTCTTACCTGTGCGTGGAACATGTTTGGCACGCAAGGGGAAGGTAGGCATGTACGCGTCACTAAATTTTGTTGCTCCCTGTCGTCACTATCAGTAACGTGACGGAAAGGAGTTCTTTTTTCCCCGTGGCATGGTGACGCCAATGCTTCTTGGTACAGCGTATCCCAGTTTGTGCTGGTTAGCACTACTCTAAGGCCATGAACAGTACTCGTACGTGGCGATTGTCTCCCGGTTGTCTTTCTACTAAAGTGTCCTCCAATTTTCATGGCCTAATGCTTCTTGGTACACAGTACACATCCGAATTGTGCTACAGTTGCTACTAGCACTATTATTTCGGGTGGACGCGCTCGTGAATGCGCCATCGGCCATCGAAGCAGCGCCCACCTGAACCTGATGCGGCCCCCCGGTGCCACGCGACCACCCGCGAGATCCTGGTCCCAATCCGCCATGCCACCGTCACCGTCACCTCAGCAAATACGGGGGTTTCGTTTTGCGATTGAACCAGTCGTCAGTCCACAGCCCCGTCCGATCCTTTCCACCAATCCACCCTGCCACCTCGGCTCCCACCGCGCCCTGTTCCTTCCGCCGTACCGCACAGGACGAGGACCACCACCACCTCGCTTTCCATTCCACCCGACCCTGTTCGCTTTCGCTTCGCCTCGTTCGCGGGTCGCGACGCGAGCAGCGGAGGCGCAACAGGCGGCAAACGTCCCGGGGCGGTGCCGGCAGCCAAGCCAAGCCAAGCCGCCTCGGTCTCTCCGGCCGACAGTGATTCGGCGGCCAAACCTACCAGCAGCCACCAAAAATTGGCGGACGACTCCTCAGATCGCGTCACATGCTGGGGTGGGCAGGCTGGTCTTAGTAGATAGAGAAGGGAAAAAAAATAGTGCGTCGTTTTTACTATACTTTTCTGTGGGATTTGGTTCGTTCGCTCGCCGATCCCCGTAATTAAGTAGTCGGTTATGTAGCGTGTGCCGTTGGGCTCTCCGGTGCCTGCTCGATTTTGCTTGCAGCGACGACAAGGGAAGGCGGAGAGGTGGAGGAGGGAGCAATGGGCGGGGCGGAGGACGCGCCGCGCGCGGCGGCGGCGAACGGGCACGGGAATGGGGCCACCGTGGAGGAGAAGCTGGACGAGCTGCGGCGCCTGCTGGGCAAGGCCGACGGCGACCCGCTCCGGATCGTCGGCGTCGGCGCCGGGGCCTGGGGGAGCGTCTTCTGCGCGCTGATGCAGGACGCGTACGGACACCTCCGCGACAAGGTGCAGGTCCGCATCTGGCGCCGCCCGGGCCGCGCCGTCGACCGCGCCACCGCCGAGCACCTCTTCGAGGTCATCAACGCCCGGGAGGACGTCCTCCGCCGCCTGATCCGCCGCTGCGCCTACCTCAAGTACGTCGAGGGCCGCCTCGGCGACCGCACCCTCTACGCCGACGAGATACTCAGGGACGGCTTCTGCCTCAACATGATCGACACGCCGCTCTGCCCGCTCAAGGTCGTCACCAACCTCCAGGAGGCCGTCTGGGACGCCGACATTGTCATCAACGGGCTGCCGTCCACGGACACCAGGGAAGTCTTCGGGGAGATTGGGAGGTACTGGAAGGAGAGGATTACTGCCCCCATCATCCTCTCTCTGGCCAAAGGGATAGAGGCCTCCCTGGATCCCCTGCCACGGATCATAACTCCCACACAGATGATTAGCAATGCAAGTGAGATTCCTTTCCTTTTCTTTACACAATCTTACCATCATGTGCACTCTTTGCTTGAATTAACTTGTTCTTTGTTCTTTGTTTGTGCTTATCCGTAACTAGGATATTCTTTAATCTGGTATTGACAAATGCAGTTTATCTTTGCTTTAGACTACATTAGAAATTTGTAACTTTGTATGATTTGAGGATGAATAGTTTGTTTACTTCAGCTCTATGCCCTAACATAATTTACACAAAAGTAAGTCTATGTTGAACATACAAAGGCACAAGTCTGAAAATGACAACGCTGGCAAAAAAAGAACTGGATGGGACAAACATTGCCTTTATTCATGTCCTCTGTTGTTCAATAGTCCTTTAGCTGTTTAGCTGCTAGATATGTTACATGAATTGGTATAACTCCAGTTTCTGTCTTTCCACATAAATAAAATGAATTATTTAGATTCTCCCTTTTATTTTAAACTCAATTCAGGTTAATATGTTTAAACCTGATCATTTGTGGTGTGTGTTACTGTTAACGGCCGAGTGTTCATGCTTGGTTTTACTTCTTAACTGTTTTGAATTATATCCTTCCAATTTATTTCTGCAATTTATATTTGTTTTGTTTTCTGCAGCGGGGGTTCCATTGGAAAACATTCTTTATCTTGGAGGCCCTAACATTGCTTCAGAAATTTACAATAAAGAATATGCAAATGCTCGTATATGTGGAGCTGACAAATGGAGAAAACCTCTTGCTAAATTTTTGAGGCAGCCTCATTTTATTGTATGGGATAATAGTGATCTCATTACACATGAAGTCATGGGAGGTTTGAAAAATGTGTATGCCATTGGTGCCGGTAATTTCTATTTCCTCTCTTGATTGTTTTTGCTATCTTCTGTAATCACGGTAGAGCATATACTGTTGTGATATTTAGCATGGGGTATGTTGGAATGCACTGGTCAGCTTTAGTTGATGTTTTGCGTACTCTGCCTTGTTTTATATTTTTCAGAATGCACTGTTACCATCAAGATATATACAATGTTTTCTCCAGGAAGAAATATACCATAAATACAACTATAGAAATATGTGCGGTATATTGTGGCTTCATCTATGTTGCTATGCTTTACGTCGCGTTTTAATCTTGTCGTGGTCATCTGCCTTTTTTTTTCTTGGTTTATGCTTCTGTTAATTTTCTGAAATTTTGTTATCCTGCAGGTATGGTGGCAGCTCTAACAAATGAGAGTGCAACCAGCAAATCCGTTTACTTTGCTCTTTGCACATCTGAAATGATTTACATAACCCACCTTTTGGAAGAAGAGCCTGAAAAACTTGCTGGGCCATTATTGGCTGACACTTATGTCACATTGCTGAAGGGTCGTAATGCATGGTATGGGCAGAAACTAGCTAAAGGTGAACTGACACTAGAGATGGGTGACAGCATAAAAGGCAAAGGAACCATTCAGGTTTGCCCTTCCGTCTTGGTTTCTGAAATATCAATAACTGAGGAAATGATGCACCTTATGATGGTCTGATGGCCATGTACTTAATTTTGTTATCATTTTATTCCAGGGTGTCTCTGCAGTCAATGCATTTTATGAACTCCTGAGTCAGGATAGCTTAAGCGTAATGCATCCTGAAGCCAACAGATCTGTTGCACCGGTTGAGATGTGCCCAATCCTGAAGGCACTGTACAAAATTTTGATCAAGAGGTTAGTATGTTCTTTTTGGATGTTATATCAATATCCCATACTTTTTTCAACATATTTAAACCCACGTGACCGAGCAAAGTTCCCTTTAGTCCTTATTGAATTCGTACTCTAGTAATTATAATCACAGCAGACATTTGAAAGTCTAGTTCTCTTGGTCAGTTCCAGCTGTTATCGTCATTTTCTCAAGGCACTAAATCAGTGGCAGCTAAAATGTAGGATTGTGCAAGGGTGTAGCTATATTTATGGCGCCATATTTTTCATAAAAAAATAGTCGACATGTATTTACATTGTAAGTTCCTAAAGTACATATGTAATTTTAGTATATTTACAATGTAAGTCTCAAAATTACATATGTAAGTACTAAAATTACATATGTAAATTCGAAAATTACATACTAATTACATATGTAGGTGGGGTGTAAATGAGGTGTAACTACTGTGTAAGTGGCTGAAAAAAATCGACTGTAGCATATGGCGCCATATTTCTAGCAACTCCGTTGTGCAAATAGAGGAGGCCAGCAGTGCCAATATTTTGAGATTTGCTCAAATTTGAATAAATTCCATATTTTTTTTCAAGCTTTTGGGGGGCTCCTTTTCTCCACCCTCATACTACTAGCTGACAGTGCAGTCGTAGCGTATTTGTGCCACAGCCTACTCAATTTGTTCATTTGTATTTACAGGGAACTTCCTCCTGATTCGATCCTTCAGGCCATAAGAGATGAAACAATGTATGATCCACGTGAAAGAATTGAGATGGCGCAGGGCCATTCACTTTACCGGCCATCTCTTCTTGGTCAACCTAAAGGAGATGCCAAAGCTTAGGCAGTTCTTCCTTTTTTTTTTGGTGCTAGATATCCTGTAAGCTCTGTGTGCTATTATGCTTGCTGCTGCTGCTGTTGTTGTAACACTAGTGAGTTCCAGCAAGGGACCAAGATCTCAGTTGATTGCTTCAAGACTTGTTGAGCTTGTTATGTAGTTTGATTTGTTAAACGCCTGAAATGTGTACATAGACGTTGTTTTGTGTGATCCAATAATAAAATATGCAAAAGGTAATGTTCAAAATATATTTGTCCACGATGCCTGTACAATGCATCATTAATGTCCACCTTATTACGTACAGTACCGATTTATGCAAAGAAATCTTCAGTACTTAAATTGATTTATCCTCCGAACTTCCAACCTACTCGAACAGACAGAACACCCATTTCACTATTTCAGGCATCCATTTCGACACTTGTAACACATGTTACTTTCTCATCCACGAACCGACTCGTTTGAAATCCAATCCACGGAAACTGGGACATCGTGCCACTGAATTCTCAACAGCGACATCGCCAAGGTCGAGTAGATTGCGGTCAGAGCAGCGATATATAGCGTCAGTTTCAGAGGCGGTTCATTCGTGGAAGAAGTCCACTAGTAGTACTGTACCACCACCTGCCGTTACTGAACGTGCAAACACCATGTCCATCGATCTCCCCATCAACCGTATCAAGGGTTTGACGTAACCACGTAAAAACGCATCCCCAGGGGGGTCGTGGGGCCCTCGGTAGTTGCTGCACGCTGCAAAGCCTCCCCCTGTATATATAGACCGCCGCCGCACAGGAGGAGGAAGGAGAGGAGTCGGAAAGGAGATACAGTTCTCAGATAGTTTCTGCTACCTTTGCTGCCGCGCGCTGCAGAAGATCGGCGAGATGGATGCTGTGTTGGTTACCGCCGCCATCTTCGGGTTGCTGCTCTGCGGCTGCTCGGTTTCAGGTGAGTGAACGCATCGGTTGATCTACTTCTCTGGTGATCAGTTAGTAGTAGCTAGATTGGTTGTTAGTAGTAGCTACTAGATTGGTGTTCTCTCTTGTGTTTATCAGTACTCCCCTTGCTGCGCCGTTAATCAGTTTCGAGTATATTTGCGATGCGTGAAAACTTCTCTGAAACGCGGTTGATTTCGATCGATCTTAGTGGGAATGCTTCTTGGAAATTGTTCTTGTCATTATCCGGTTCCTCTCTGTTTTGTTCATTGTGTTATTGGTTAGGATCTGCCATAATCTTCTCTAAAAGCGGTATCCTTGGAATATCTTTGCATGCATTCACGGGTGCACCGTTGGATCAAGCAGAGATATTTAGATGTGGTGTTTCTTTACCGGATGTTTTGTTATACCTATTATGAGTAAATTGGTTCCCGGCTCGGAATAAATCCCAGTCTCTCATTACTCTATCATAAATTTGTTACTATACTCCTCATTCCCGGTCCGGATTGAATCCGCGCGTAACCGAACAAGGCCTTACTGGGGATACAATGGAAATATCTTGGCATCTTTGTTTCTCTGTCAATTCAAACCACCGTCTTCAATTCGTTTCAAATCTTTTGAAGTGTGGTCGATCTCTCATGGTCAAGTAGAACCGACGGGACCTAATGTTTGGTTGTAGTACAATGCACTCCTTAATTATGGATGGTAACTTTTGATCCACAAGAACTGTTTCTAGCTTGCCCTTTCCAATTTCAAAATGAGTGTTCCTTTCATGAAAAGGGTAATGTAATCATATGCGCATATATGCACCTTTGCAGCGATAGTTAGTAAGAAATCTTTCATCAAAATGCCGTTAATTAACTAGTGAATCTGTGGAAAGATGAAATGGTAATGTAGTAGTACAAGCTAGGTTGAGTAGTTTCTTTGCTTGTTTACCAGTACGTGTATGGCGTGTGTATTGATCGTGCAGGAGTGGAAGGTATCGGTGTGAACTATGGCATGATCGGCAACAACCTCCCGTCGCCGGACAAGGTCATCGCCCTGTACAGAGCCAGCAACATCACCGACATCCGCCTCTTCCACCCGGACACCACCGTGCTCGCCGCGCTCCGCGGCTCGGGCCTCGGCGTCGTGCTCGGCACGCTCAACGAGGACCTGGCACGCCTCGCCACCGACGCCTCGTTCGCGGCGTCGTGGGTCCAGTCGTACGTGCAGCCCTTCGCCGGCGCCGTCCGCTTCCGCTACATCAACGCCGGCAACGAGGTCATCCCTGGGGACGAGGCGGCGAGCGTCCTCCCGGCCATGAGGAACCTCCAGTCGGCGCTGCGCGCCGCGGGGCTCGGCGTGCCGGTCACGACGGTCGTCGCGACGTCGGTGCTGGGCTCCTCGTACCCGCCGTCGCAGGGCGCGTTCTCCGAGGCCGCGCTGCCGACGGTGGCGCCGATCGTCTCCTTCCTGGCGTCGAGCGGGACGCCCCTGCTGGTGAACGTGTACCCGTACTTCGCCTACTCCGCCGACCCGTCGTCGGTGCGGCTCGACTACGCGCTGCTGTCGCCGTCGACGTCGGCGGCCGTGACGGACGGCGGTGTCACGTACACCAACATGTTCGACGCCATCCTGGACGCGGTGTACGCGGCGCTGGAGAAGGCGGGCGGGCAGGGCCTGGAGGTGGTGGTGTCGGAGACCGGGTGGCCGTCGGGCGGCGGCGGGGCCGGCGCCAGCGTGGAGAACGCGGCGGCGTACAGCAACAACCTGGTGCGCCACGTCGGGCGCGGCACGCCGCGGCGGCCCGGGAAGGCCGTGGAGACGTACATCTTCGCCATGTTCAACGAGAACCAGAAGCCCGAGGGCGTGGAGCAGAACTTCGGCCTGTTCCACCCGGACATGAGCGCGGTCTACCACGTCGACTTCTCGGCGTGATCATCTTAATCAGGCAGCGACGGCGGGGGCGACGCTCCATGGATTTGGACTCATCGTGTGCATGAGTTACTTAAGTACCAATTTTAGGAAGTTAGTAGTATGATTACAATATTGGACAAAGATATTTGACATCGATATGTATATGATTCCGCTGCATTTCTGATTAATTACCAGCATTCACCTGTTTCTCTGATTCAGATTCTTGCTTGGAAGTAACTATTACTCCCTTCTTTCCTAAATGTTTAACGCCGTTGACTTTTTTAAACATGTTTGACCGTTCGTCTTATTCAAAAACTTTTGTGAAATGTGTAAAACTATATGTATACGTAAAAGTATACTTAACAATAAATCAAATGATAAGAAAAGAATTAATAATTACTTAAATTTTTTGAATAAGACGAACTGTTAAATATTTTTTAAAAAGTCAACGGCGTTAAATATTTTGGAATGGAGGGAGTATATAGAACGTCGCCTCCAACTTCCAAGTTCCTCCTTGCGAACCGAGACGATGCGAGATCTTCTTGTTTTACGAGCATCTCCTAGAACTTAAAGCGTGTTTCATTTTTAGGCCATTGTTCTTTAATTCATGCATGCACTTGCTGCGCATCTGGCAGCTGGAAGGGTCGCCGGCGAGGAGGACCTTTCTGGGGCGAACACGGTGACAGGCGGCCACCATCGTCACTGCGACCGAGAGCGATCCGTCGGCTCAGCTACGAATCCGTGCGCAATCCCTTCCAGCCCAACTATGATAGCACATGTTCCGGCCCAAGTAATATGGGCCGTACCTAGTCACAGCCTTTTCCAGCCCTTAGCCGCGGTAGAAGATGAGGTTGGGTTGGCTGTGTCGCCGCAGCATGGGAGGAGGGATGGAGAATTGGTGTGATTCGCTGGTGGACGGAATCGACGCAAGTAAAACAAGGCGACCAATAGTGCGCCGCCGCTTATGGCAGGTTAGCAGCCGCTGAGAATTGAAGCTTCCCCCGCCACCGGTGGCTTCAATTCTATATACTCGCGATTTCTCAGCAACAAGACGGCATCCTACTTCGTACTCCCTCCGTCCCATAATATAAGGGATTTTGAGTTTTTGCTTGTAACGTTTGACCACTCGTCTTATTCAAAATTTTTTGAAATTATTAATTATTTTATTTGTGACTTACTTTATTATCTATAGTACTTTAAGCACAACTTTTTATTTTTTATATTTGCAAAAAAAATTTGAATAAGACGAGTGGTCAAACGTTACAAGCAAAAACTGAAAATCCCTTATATTGTGGGACGGAGGGAGTACACCGCTACTACAGGATTACTGTAGGGCTCATTTCTTTTCGTCAATTTTTCGTGGCACGCTGCCCAACGATACAGTTCTGCAGACCGCGAGGCAGAGCCAGCGACTCTCTAGTCTCTACTGGTCGTCGTTTCATCACACTGCCGGGGACCTGTCATCACCGCATTGGCTCACATCGCATGCCTTCGCTGGTGGGCTCGTTTCACGTGCGGCCTCATCACCAGATCGAGCCGCACTCGTGCACTCTACTGCCTGCTGGTTCTTGTTCATCATACATGACGGAAGCATTACTGCTTTACCACTGTTGTATCTGCCGCGGACATCTGAAGGAGAAAAGCCATTTTCGACATACGGCGGCGAACGGGGGCCGGACAACCAATCGAAAAATTCAGCCGGAACCGGAAGCACAACCTTGCAAGCAAAGCCAGGTTGCCTCCCAAAGTCCCAATGACCCAATCCCTAGCCTATATCGGAAGTTGAGTAGGAGTACTCCTCAGCGCTGTCCTCCAGGAGGCAGGACTGATTTGACACGCTCAACTTTATAGGAAGGCGTGCACGCAACGCAAGCATCCGGTAAGCATTTCTCGTTTCCTACTCCCATCTCATCGACGGCCTGATCTGGCTTGGCTGCTTCTTTCCCTCAGGATTTGTGGGTTTTTGGCTGAGTTTAGTTTCAAACTTCTATTTTTTTCATCGTATCAAAATTTTTCTACACACGTAAACTTCTAACTTTTCCATCACACCATTTCAATTTTAACTAAGCTTATAATTTTAGCGTGAACTAAACACAGTCTTTGTAGAGTGAAGCTGGCTCGGCGGCTAGCCACCGGAAACAATTTTCATCATTGTTATGGTAATACTGACAATTCGATGTAATACTCGTACGGTACCGGTTGATCGACAGTCTTCTGCTACCTCCGTTTCAAAATAAGTGCAGCCGTGAAAATCCGTGTCCAACGTTTAACCGTCCGTCTTATTTGAAAAATTTATGAAAATTTTTAAAAAAATTAGTCACACATAAAATACTATTCATGTTTTATCATGTAATAACAATAAAAATAGTAATCATAAAAAATTTTCAAATAAGACGAACGATCAAACTTTGGAGATGAATAGTGTAAAACTGCACTTATTTTGGGACGGAGGTAGTATAAAGACGTCATTTTCCAGATTTGCCGTGTCAACATCACAGAAAAGCACGCGGAGGAGAGCAGGCGCGTGCTAAAACTCCGTGAAAGGCACACTGGTTCACTGCTGTAACTGAGGGTGTGTTTAGTTCACATCAAAATTAGAAGTTTGGTTAAAATTGAAATGATGTAACAGAAAAGTTAGATATTTAGGTGTGTAGGAAAATTTTGATGTGATGAAAAAGTTAAAAGTTTGAAGAAAAAGTTTGAAACTAAACTCGGCCTAAGGCATACTGTGAATTGACTAGAGCGTCAAGTTTCAGAACTGTTGGACGAGTACACGTCTGCAACTGGCCGGCGGTATCTTCGACTTTGTTAATTTGTACACTCATGCAGGGAGGTTTCCCCAAAAATTCCGTAATTTTAACAAATTGACCCTTTTAAAAAACTTGTTTTAAAAATAAATCGTGTCAAAAACTAATTTTAAGAATAGGCTGTGGCCTCAGCATCTCAGGCGATCCCCAGGCGATTTCGTTCTCGACCAGATCTCCACCCGCGGCGATGTCGTCTTCCACCAGCCCTTCTACTGCGCCATCGGCCGAGTACGCCGAGGTAAGTCCTCACCAGCTAGATCCCTTTTCCTCGCATGAAATCGATTTCTCCTTTTCACCTCACGTTTTCTACTTCCCAATTCCTTTGGATTTGCAGCACCTTTCCAACCTAGTCGCGATTCCCAGCCTTTCACACAAAAACCACTATTTTCTTGGCCCAATCGGCAATCTCGACCCCACTGATTTCATCATCGGTGAAACTAACCGGATCCCCTTTAGACTAGCCAACCCTAACCTGGGTCACTGGAAGAATACCTTCAAGTCTTGGCCATCTCTAGAAAAACCTACTACTGATAAGAGCTGGACTATCTGGTACTAACGCGTATCGGCTAGTAAGAAAGTTCACTGGGATGAAATTGGAATCGGCCAAGCACTCGCTCTCACCATAGCCAATTCTGCTAAGGATGAACCCTTGATGGCTGCCGCCACCTACTTCTGGTCCAACACCATCAATGCTTTCTTATTCAACCAAGAGCCGATGACTCTAACTTTAATCGACATCACCATGATTACTGGATTAGATGTAACTTCATCGGGTAACCCTATGAACATGAACACCAAGAACCAATTCGACTTCAAGACTAAAAGCATAGGTGGCTGGTTTGGCTATGTGGCGGCATATATGGGCCAAGGGTCTGTTACCCCTCGAGAGCATGTAGCTTTCTTGCTCATGTGGCTGCAAAAGTTTCTCTTCTGTGGATCCAGTTGTGGCCCTACAACCAACTGGCAATTCGTAGCCGAAGCCTTAGAATCAAGGAAAGAATTTCCTTTGGGCAAAATCCTTCTCGGCTATCTGTACTAGATGTTGAACAATGCATTGGCTAAAATAGCCGTCGGCTCAATAGTTGGAGCAGGTGGACCATGGTGGCTGCTGCAAACTTGGTTAAACCTGATAGTCATGAAGGTTGTCAATCGGCCCTATGTGGCAGAAGCTGAATTCCCATTGCCAGAGCCGATTGTGGAAGATGACGGAGAAGAGCGCACCCATCGCAGATGCATGTCATATGGAGAATATGCATCCACACCAACCGATGCTGGAGCGAAGCTATCGGCTGAGCTACTCAAGGACTGGTTCTGCAGCTTCTACAAAGGTTTTAAGAAAGATGCACGAATCTGGTTTCCGTACGAAGACTCAGCAGACCTTGAACTTCCGTCAGACTTTAGATTCGAAGACATTAATCATGAAAAATTCCAAAAATCCAGAGAAATTCTTATAGCTGCAATCAACCCATGCATCCTCCCTGTTGGCATTCACCAAGGGAGAAACATCCAAGTCTCCTACGAGTTTTATCACCCAATGAACTCGGCTAGACAACTTGGATTGGGCCAACTCCCAATCGGCTTATTCTTTGCCGACAAGATTCAGTGCCGAGGACAAATCACTTCCACTCTAATGATGGATCGGCTACTTAACCTACCAGGACCCCCTCTGGGCAACATTGATAATATTGAGTTGGCAGGATTTAGAAGCAAAAACTTTGACAGATGGTGGGGTGAATGGAAGCTGCATCTATTTCATCAATCGGCTTCAATGTATATAACAGATATATTCCCTGACGTCATGCCCCAGGTAAACTTTGTCATTACTAAATTGCATAACCAGTTAGCCGATTCATTACTTGACTAACCTCTTGCTCCTGTTTTGCAGACAACAGAGTCCTCCCCTCCCCATCAAAGTAACAGTGGCAAGAACATTGAATTTGCTTCTGGTCTAATTCCGAATGGAGGTGGACTATCTCCCCCTTTCATCGGCTACCATGCCCCAAGACTTCAACTCTCCTTCACGGCCTAACTAGAGAACCAGCCGATGCAGGCAAGAAAAGGAAAACCAGATCATCAGCCCTGAGTACCTTAGCCTTGGCTCCAAAGAAAAAGACCAAATTCAAGAAAACTCAACCACAACCAACTGATACGTCGACTGATGATCTGCCCGCCTTGGATCCATCTATTGAACAAGCTTTAGATGAAGAGGAAATTGGTGAAGATGTTGACCAAGCTATAGCCGAAATGAGTGACACAGAAATAACACCATCGGCTTCACCCAAGCAAACGCCTCCAACTCCTTCTGTCCCCGTTCATTTTACAAGAGTAAGTACCTCTCTCTGACTTTTTCTGAAATCACCTCACTCTTCGGCTAATTACCCATAGACTTTGTGGTTACAGAAGAAGAAAAC